TGTGTGTGTGTGTGTGTGTGTGTGTGTGTGTGATACCCACCCACCCACAGTGCCATATAATTGGGTGTGTTGATAATTGGTGCATGTTTGAGACCATAGATAAGTGGAATGGACTAGTTTGCCAGGGGTTGTGCTCGTCCTCTTTGGCTTGTTTTTTTTTCTGAAGTTTGAATTTTGAACTGTGCTCATCTTTTTTCTCCTGTTTTCCTGTTTTGTTGCTGTGGTGTGGTTTATTAGAATCTTGGCGCAAAGGAAAGGGTCGCAGCACAGTTGCGACTCTGCGAGCAGGGTATATTGACCAGCACGATGACAGCACTGAGAGCAAGGCTGGCACCAATCAGAGGCATCCCAACCAAATCTGGAGGATTGCAGGTACGCATGTCGGACAGCCATCCAGGAAAGAAGCTATAAGATAGAGCCATGTGCTGTGCACCTATCAATTATTACCTCTCATCCATTCTCCTGGTCAATATAACCAGCGGATAGCTGAATAGCCAAATAGCCAGACGGTCATATAGCGAGAAACACATGAACAAATTATGTGATCTTTATCATCATAGAGTCACATAGACGCATCCAATGACACTTATTTTTCTTTTTCTCGTAACCTCGATGTGATTGATTCAATTGATTCGTAAACTCAACATAACTGCGTACCAACTACTATCCACTATCAGGTGGAAGCGCCTAACCTTATGTGTGTGCAAGAATGTTGAACTCTTGATCTGTTTATCAGCAGTTACAGTTATGGGTGTTTACCATTCACCCACCAGGCAGGTAACTTTCCAGCACCTTTTTTTTAATTAAAAAAAAGGAAAAAGGTTCAAAAAGCCCCTATGTCCTGAATAACTTACCCCCCCCACCCCCAACCCAAAAAAATAAATAAATAATTTAAAATAAATAAAATTTTAATTTATAACTTACCTTGCCATTGTCCTGCATGGCTCATGCCCACACATGCATCTGCCAAACCATGTGGGTGGGTGTCATCCAGGACAGTGACCAGGTACTCAGAGGCTGTCACGAACCACTTCAACTTAAACAATTTGTGTTTTCATCTGCCCAAGAAGAACAGCAACAGAGAGCATAATCAGTCCTCTCTTCCTCCTCGTTCTCCCATTGCTGCTCGCACAATTGTTATCATAGTCTGAAAAAGAATACATTATTCACTGCAACACCCAGAATCAACAACCATGAACTGCCTCGAAGAGACAACCCCCAAGTCTCTCTCTCCCCTCTCCTCCTATGCTAGCTAGCCTCCATCCGTGACGAGTCCCAACGTAGTGTCTCGCCACCTACTGACGCCTTGTGCCCTAGAAGGGGCTAGTGCTATTCCATCTATGTTAGCCCGGCACCTGCAACTGCAGCCAGCGCAAGTGCATGTGCCTCTTCCGGTAGTCAACGGAGTTTAGGTGTGACTTCCTTCAGTTACCGTTCAGGCAGCCTACCAGCCTCCGTCACAGTGTGCTTGAATCGACTGGCGCACCATATATGGAGCCTCCGAAGACAGAAGCACATACCTACATACTCTGGAGGATTGCATTTAGGGAAAATGAGAATCAATAGTCAGTCTGTAATTGAAAAAAAGGGCGATGATAGGATGATTTCACTATGGCTCAGGGGGAGGGAGGAACTAGCGTGTAGCTGTGTATCTGGCGCCGGATTCAGGGTGAAGAGGTTCCCCCTTCCCTCCAATATCCTGCTCAGTCAATCCCCTGGATCCCAGGGTAATCAATGCTGGCAGGAACACTCCACAATCTTTTCTGATGTATCCCAAATCCAGTCTGTATAAGGGACGCTGGACCCGATTTCCAGCAGGTGATGCTCCCCACCAATAGATGGAGCCTCTCCCCAGGTGCTAGTGGTGTCTGCTAGTGGTGTCTGCTCTTATCAGCACCACTAACTCTGGTGGGGGTGTTTGAAAAAAAATATATAAAAAAAAAAGGAGGAGGAGGAGTGAAGGTGGCGCATATAACTCCAGCCACTTACAATTTGACAATCGAGAGCTCGACCGACAATCTGGAATACCTGGCAGCAAGATATTCCACCTAATTATTGCTAAGCCAAAGGGAAAAAAAAAGAGGCAATGGCTAAATTTTCTATGAACCTCATCTGCGAGCATGTGATGTTTCAAGATAAAATCAAGCCCTTCTAACCTGCAATCCCAAAGGAATCGAGTGGAATATGTAAATTGATCTGAGCAAACAGGATTCCGGAGATCCGGCCGGGCTCTAACAAAACACGGCCAAAGGTGTCCCCTCTAATCGTAAGCTTAGAGTGTGCATCCAGCTATATCGGGAAAACATTCATTTACATCATACTTGCAACTGCACAGCGCGCCACACCGTCGGGTGCGCCGTACGGGGTCTGGTCCGGGACCTCCCCAACCTCCGTACAGGCCCGTACCCGTACCGTACAGGACCGCACGGGGCCGAGCTCTGTCGGGTGCGGCCATATCCCGTCCGGAATCTTGTTTTTTTTTTTTTTAATCTGCAAGGTGGGTGCAGCAATCACCTTTCCTCTATCCCTACCCACACTCGACACACTAGGAAGACTGCTGCCGCCACCAGTCGCCCTTGCCAGATGGATCAGCACCAGCCTTAACCCCACCTTCACGGACCCCATCTTCATGGCCATGCTGTGTGAGGAACAAGCCCTCAAGGGGCCCTATCAGACATCACATGATCTGGGCTAAGGCCCCCAGCAAGCCGAGTGCCCGCCCTGAGTGAAGGCAGGCCTGAATATTTGTCAGAGGCAGAATTCGACATTTTCATATGTGGGTATTCAGGCTCTCACAGCACGCCAGTTGGTTGGGTAGACGCGTGAGCCTCACATTGCTGCGTCATACAGTTGGCCCTGCCTTGACAGTTGCGCCTGGGCACATACACACAAAGCAGGGCCGATACATTGGGAAGCAGGCCACCGGCCTTTGCAAAAGCAATACTGCCGATGCACCTGCCTGGGAGCCATACACAGATGCAGCAAACAGCCCAAGTCCTGAGACTCAAGCCGTGCCCAACTGTAACGGGCCCAGGCCCTCCGCTGTAGTCTCGGGCCTGGGCGCAGGGTCTGAGGCCCAACCGGAAGCTACTGGAAGCTTCCAGCCAGGCCACGCACAGCATCCAGGAGGCTGCCACTTCGATAAAAGAAGTGAGGCAGCCCAGGCCAGACATTTTGGCCAGTGCTGGCAATGCGGAAGTGCTGCTGCGCTATCACTCGATGCTGCGCTGCTGCCAGGGCGGTGAGGGGGCGCGTAGTGGTGAAGTGGGGCGCTGCAGGGCAGCGGGGCGCAGGTGGCCATAGCCGGGCTGCTGGGCGCCAGGGGGTAATGCGGGGCGATCGAGTGGTCTTCAGGGAAGGAGGCAAGTGTGGGGTAATCAAGGTCTGACTGAGGGTGACGAGATACGTACCTGGTGCATGAAGAGAGGTCGGCTATGGTGTTGACAGTCATGTACATTGGTCTTCGTGAGTCGAAGTGAGCCTGTTGCGTGAACCAGCTGTAGGTAGGATAGTCGGGTAGAGTAGACTGGGCGCTGGGCGCCAGACAGATGGGAGTGACTTTGGATATTGTGTTGGTGTGGCCTACGGGCTTGAACATTGGCTCATTACTTCATTGTATTGCTCTATGTGGATGGTTTCTCGGTGCATTTTGTACTTTCTGCTTGGATACGACTGCCTGGACAGCTATGTGATTTCGCAACTTGGTTTTGTGTACATCGTTCACACTCGTATTCCTTGCAATTTGGTATCAGAGCTGCCGCCTAGTCAGATGGTGGGTGTGCAGTCCAGCCTGCCGCCTTATCTTATAAGGGAGCAGATGGAGCTCCAACAGGTAGAGAGGATCCGCCTGAGGTTAGAGGAGGAACTCAAGCAGGCTACTAAGAAAGAAAATAAATTAGAGATAGAAGAGCCAGACTAGAGAGTAGGGAGGCAGACCTAGCTGCACCAGAGGGTTTAGATGAAGCGGCCCTTAATCTTACAGGAAAGATTCTGAAGGCGAGCGTCCTGTCCGTGCAGCCGTACATGGAGAGCAAAATGGACGCCATGAAGGACACCCTGGACCAGATCCTCCAGGCCCTACAAAGGCCGGGGACCCGGACAGCAGCTAAGCCATTGCTTCCATTATCAGCGATGACAGGCCCCTATGCCGCTCAGTCTAGACAACAACCAAGCGGTACATCAGCAACAACTCTATCACAGACTATTGCTTCTTCATTTTCTGGTCCAGAGACTGGAGCTACACCACAGTCCACCTGTCTCGCTAGCGGGACAACAATTGTCTTGGTACCCCAAGACCCCCCTGAAACCACCTCCAACCTTCTCAAGAGACAAGAAGGATGAGGCTCTCGACACGTGGTTGAGAACGGTTCCAGTTTGGGTGAGGGCAAAGAGAACATTGGTAGAAGAGGGAGTGATAACTGCTGCATCCTACTTAGAGGGTTCAGCAGCTCGCTGGCTGAATGGATTGGTAGCTTCAAAGGGGTTCGACAGGAAAATGGGTGATTGGGCACAGACCCATACACTAGAGAGCTTTATGGACTTAGTGGAGGCTCGATGGCACAACCCTCAACAGGCACAGATTGCCACTGATGGGCTTCTAAAGCTTGATGCTAGAAAGTACAAGTCGGTGCGAGAGCTTACCACTACTGTAGAACGCCTGATTGTCATCCCAGGAATGGAGTACAATCCTCAGATCTTATTGACCACGTTCTTAAGATGTCTTCCCACAGACATGAAGAACTTACTGGCCAGCGAGGCTCGGCGTGAGTATCACACCTTTGAGTCATTCAGTAAGAAGGCCCTAGATTTAGAGGCTACGTTGGGTAGTGCGCAGACCCCTTCTACGGACGGGAGTAAGAAGAAGACTACACAAGAATGGAAGAAGAAGGGTAGTCGATTGATGATGGTTGATTTTGAAGGGAATCAAACTGAAATCGATGATGTTTCTGAACTTGTGGAGGGTGCAGAGTTAGATGGCGAGGAAAGTGTTGAGGGTAGCAACCTCGCCGCGGTAGTTAAGACTAAGGCAGATGGCCGCGGCAAGGGCGGTCAGCAAAGGAGTCAGGGGCAGGCCACCAACCCAAACAAAATAGCAGCTTGGTTTAGAGAAGGCTTGGATCGAGAAGGGTGGCGGGACCGTTGGTCGCGAGGTGCTTGCATAAATTGTGGCAAGTACGACGATATGCAGTTTAAGTGCAAGAACTCGAAGGTCTTGCAGAAGATCCCTCCTAAGGTTGGGTTTCCTTCTTCTCAGTCTGGGGCCTCTACGAGCTCCAGCTCGGGAAACACTTAGGGCCGGTAGAAGTTGTAGCTACTTCTCCTCTCGTTGAAGCGGGTGACGTACCCTCCTTGTTTCAAGAGTTGGCCGAAGC